TTGGTTTTCTTCATTCTTCTTTGCTCTGGATGAGGAGAGACCCATCGTTGCATCTAGATGGCAGCTTGCTAGCTTTTAAGATCCCAGTCGCTACTCACCAGAGTAGGAGGTGGAACAATGTTTTGTATAGTATGTTATGCCAATTGAGCTTAATGTCCCCTGCGACTATTGTCCTGATCCCACAGGTTCAACTACTCAGTCCCTCTGGGTAGCTGGCTGTGACCAAGCAGTGACCACAACCTTGCCCCTTGTCCAGCTCTACTATACACCTGGGAATTCTGATCATTCACATAAACTTATAGGACCATTGAATTGACCTCACTTTGATTCAGTTTACTCATTTGTGTCTACCCCTTAAGCTTGGAGTGATAATTAAATGTGTTAATATACATAAAGTGCTTAGAACAGTGCCAGTAAATGTACGTACCCAACAAAATTTAGCCATGGTTGTTACTGCCTGAGTGCCATCTCTTCCACTGGCTTTGGATCCTGAGACTGAATATGGCTGGTCAAATTGAGACTTCTAATTCAGACTCATGATGATGGAAACAAATACATAGACAAGCAGACCACCAAGGGGCTTCATTCAAGATAATTCTTACGGTTTTTCTCTATGCTTAAAAGTAAGCTATCCCAAGTATCACATCCCAAGCTATATTTTCTTAGCTTCAGCCCAATGATATGGAAAAGTTTCTTATTATAGGTAGAACTTGGCTGCAAAGATTAATGGGTTGATTGACTGATGAATCATTCATTTGGTAAGCTTACATTAAAACCCAAAAAACCAAACCCACTGCCATTGATTCGATTCCAACTCATAGCAACCCCCATTAGGTTTCCGAGGCTGTAAATCTTTATGGAAGTAGATTGCCCCATCTTTCTTCTGCGGAGTGGCCAGTGGGTTTGAACCACCAACCTTTTAGTTAGCAGTCAAATGCCCTAGGCAGTGTACCACCAGAGCTTTTTTAAGTTTATATTAAAGGTCCACTGTATTAAAGGGTCAATACTAAGCTAATAGCTACAGGCCTGAAACTATATATTTAGAATTTGAATGCATTATCATGATGTATGGGGGCACTGACAGTTCAGTGGTAGAATTATCACCTTGTATTTGGGACACCTAGGTTCAACCCCTGGCCCATACACTTCCTGTGTAGCCACCACCTATCTGCTTGCCAGCACTCATCTGTCAGTGGAGGCTAGCATGCTGCTGTGATGCTGAACAGGTTTCAGTGGAGCTTCCAGATGAAAATAGACAAGGAAGAAAGGCCTGATGATCTGCCTCTGAAAATCAGCCAATAAAAACCCTGTGGATCACAATGATTCATTGTGCATGGGCCATGAATTGGGGGTTAACTTGACAGCAGCTAACAACAACTTCAATATTATGTTGCATTGAACCACATCACCTTTTTTATTTGGTAGATGTGATAATGGTTATATTGTGCATACAAACGTAATTTCTTTGTTCTTTCTAGTATGTAAAGAATTCTTGAACCGATTCTACAACTCCTTGATAGCCAAAGGAGTTAACTTTTCTCTGGACATCATAGAAAAAGAATTGATCAGTTTTTGCCTGGATGCCAAAGGAAAAGAAAACCGTCTGGTATGGTAAATTTTCACTTTTTATTTTTCTCTTGTGCTTGAAGAAAACTGCTAATAGTTTCATTTCTCCTTTTGGACTTGATGTTCTCATGCTTACATGCTTGCCTCAGGCATGTTCAACATAGACAGCAAATAGAAATTGATCTTTCAGTGAAATGCAGTCCTATGTATTTTCATCCAGAATATATCCAGTTTCATTTTGCTTTCTGAATAAGCCATAGGCAACTAATTCTTTTTTCTTAGATAAAATTATAAAAATGAATTCCTAGTGAGAATTAGCTGTCCTGAACTAAGAGTAGGTAGACTTTCCATCTCTTGTGAAAACAATTAGTCAAGCCTACCAAAACCTTTTATATTATTATTTACACGTTACTAACAATGAGGTGCTTACACTTTATAGCAATGGTGTTTATATGGTGTTTCCTGGGTATACATACCTGGCCTGTTTCAATATACTAAACACATCACTAAGGAACTTTTGCCTAAAATTGTCATGTTAAATTTGCATTATAGACTGCTCACCACTGATACATTATAAAACTCTTGTCATTTTTTTTTTTGCCCTTGTTTTTGATATTTTTCAAGTCAGGTGGCTTGAAAGGCAGCATAGCATGATGGAAAAAGGCATGGGCTCTAGAGCCAAAATGCTAGATTTTAAATTCTATCTCCTCTTCTTGCCAGCTGGGTGACCTTCAGTTAGCTTGAGTGTAAAATGGGTATAATAATAGCACTTCACAGGATTGTTGTGAGAATTAAATAAGTAAATATCTTTAAAGCACTTAGGAGCTCTGGTGGCATAGTGCTAGATGCACTTGACTGCTAACCAGAAGGCTGGCGGTTCAAACCCACCAGCCACTCTTCGGAAGGAAGGTTGGGCAATCTACTTCCGTAGTGATACTGCCTTGGAAACCCAAGGAGGGGTCGTTCTGTGTCGGATCTGACTCCACGGCAGTGAG